AACATTTCCAGAAAGGGGCTCCAAGTCCTCCAGGGACTTTGATTTATGAAGATTTACTCCCTTTCCCTCTGTAAGGCTGTTAGCAGAAAGTGCTGACTGGCTGCAGCAAAGAATTTCTCATCAATGCTCTTTGATTGTATTTTGCAAACAAAATGCCTGTTGCTTGGTAACATTTCACTTGAGCCTGACCTTCTCCGAAAGTTATTGCTATCAGATTCGATTTACACTGTCCTCCTGTGATTACTGTAATCTTTTAAACCCGGGAGTTCATCCATCAGGGAAAAGAAAAGTTGGTTGTGTAAGTGGAGAGCACGGCTATCCGCCAGATTTATAACACTGGGAGTGTGCTGGGGGGAGACTCTTCCCCGGAGGGCAGTGGACTCTGGTTCCCAGACGTGGAACACTCTGGGTTTTCCTGCCCGCCCAGTTCTCAGGCCATAAGATGGACACCAGCCTCCCGGTGGCCCTCGAGGCAACTGGTTCTGCTAAGTTCTGCAGCCTAGGGTGGCTAAAATAACCAGATGCCCAGTTAAGTCCCAGTAATAGCTGACTTTTTTTTTTTTTTTTTTTTTTTTTTTTTTTGTGGTGGTGGTGGTGGTGGTGTAATGGGGAGGTCGGTTAGCATGCTTTTTGCTAAATCTGGCACGCCAATTCAGGGCTCCTTTGGACTGAAAAAGAAGTCCCGTAGACTGTGGGTGAAGGAGCAGCGTCCCTGAGGCCGAGTGCAGGAATGGCTGGGTCACGGCTAGAGCCTGCTCTTTGGCGGACACTGCACCGGGTTCCCCAGTAGCTGAGAGTTAAGAAGGACCGGGGCCCAGAGAAGCGACCCCACAAACGATCGCTCCCTGTCATTCGGTCCAGGGAGAGGAAAGGGAGAGCCAGGGTCCCTGTCCCAGGCCAGCTGCTCCCCCTGCCCCATCCACGCCCACCGCCCTGCACCAAGCGCTCTTAGCTGTGGGTGCACCCGCCTGCAAGACCAAGGGCTAGAACGTCCCAAACCACCCCCGCCGGCTACGCCGCGGAGTCCCACCCCAGCCAGGTTTGAAAGAGGCAGTCACATTTTTTTTTTTTACCTAGTTGGTTTTTGCTTTTTAAGCCCTCACTTCCAGACTTAGTTTTTCATTTCATAGGTACATTCACAAGCGACTTTTCTTTCCTGCTTCTTTCTTCCCTCCTAGCCTGCAGTCACAGAAAATTTCCGTTCCTGGCCTGGATGAGTATTCCCCTAACAGCTATTATATTTGCAGATGCTTCTATTTCGGAGAAACTTTTTTTTTTTCAAAAAAGCAAAATTAAGCCGGGCTCCGTGATGCATGCCTGTAATCCCAGCAGCTCCAGAGGCTGAAGTAGGAGGATCACAAGTTCAAAGCCAGCCTCAGCGAGGCCCTAAGCAACTTAGTGAGACCATGTCTCAAAATAAAAATCATAAAAAAGGCTCCGGATGTGGTTAAATGCCCCTGGAGTTCAATCCCTGGTGCCAACAAAACAAAACACCCAAAATTTAAATTAGGAAGCAAATGGGGGAAGACCCAATCAAACTGAAGCTGAAAACCCAGAGCAAGCATAAAAATGTAAAGATGCCCAGAGCAAAGAAGAGGCATGAGATAAAATAAAACAAAGGCAGTTTCTTCAAATCTTCTAACTTGTCTCCCTGTAGTTAATCTTGTCCTCTCCTTTCAGAAGAAATAGACTGGAAAGGAGGTCTACTTTCCTACTTGATCCTGTTCTCTTAATTCTAACCAAATATGTTTTGATTTCTTTCTCCCTTAAGAACATTTAAAAATTTTTGTATACATATTTATTTTGATGTCAGATATAGACCTAAGAACAATCTACAGCCACAGATCATTCCTGTCCAGGTACCACGGGCTTTGGCCACCCAGGACACTCTACTGGAGGAAAAGTTGGGGATAGGTAAAAGTTTAGGCTAAAAAGCCACAACACAGGATTGTAACTTCAGCTTCTCACCTTGGCTGTGACCCTTAACTTCCCTCAGCTCTGGAGCCCATGGTCCTGAAAGGCTGTGGAGGCTGGTTGAGACTGCTGATTCAGACATACTAACAGCTGAAAGATGTCCCTGCTTCCTGTGATATTTTCATGGGGGGAGGGGAATGAGGAAAAGTAGAGGGAATTTAGGAGAATAAGTGAATTCCATAGTATGTATAAAGAAACTAATTTACAATTTGAGGCTTAATCAAAAATCTAGTAATTCCAAGTCAGTAATTGATAGTAATCATTGATAGTGCAGAAGAAATCTACACTTAAAAAGACAAAAAGAATATTACAAAAAGAAATCTCAAAGATTTCTAGAGAGGAAAAACATTCTATGAGCTGGTGGTACCTTCATTTCTATCCAAGAAAAAAAAAAGAAAATCTCTCTACTGCTATGTTCTACAGAGGCCTTTTGCCCTGCAAAAAGGCTAGCCACATTCATTAACTCAAAGTTCACAAAGAAACAGATCTGCATCATTTGCCAGAAGATAGAGATTTCTATGCATGAGTATTTACTGTACTTGTGGATCTACCTTTCGAATACAGCTTTGCTTACTCTGTATATATTGTGAGCTACTTATAAAGGAGTATGATATGCTTCTAAATATCCCTGATATGTTACATCAAATACATTAAATATAACTGCCCCCTCAAAAAGGTGTAACCCATATAACAACAAGCATTCTCAGCCAGTTTTCTCTAACTTAAACCCCAAATAGACTTTCTCTTTATGTACACTGCATAGAATGGGTTTGCCTGTGTGCTTATAATTCCTAGTGAAAAATAATTATCTGCTCTTTTCCTGTCCCACTTCATTGGATAGGTGACTGGCTATTAAAAAAAAAAGTATTACGCGGTCAAACTGAATGAAAGAAACTGAAACAAAAGTTGTGCAAATCAACATACAAGGTATATGGTAGGCTGGCAGCCTAGCCCTAGGATTGCTGGCTCAATCCCTCAAAATAATCACTCGGACCTCTCCTTCCAATTACTTGTTTTCAATTTGGAGGGCTCAGACTATTCCTGAAAACTTGTTAGAAGAGCACCAGGTTGGGTTTGTCCACTTGAAATCTGTTTCCTTTTTTTATTACTCCAAAGCATGTGTCCTGCTGCTTTTGCAGCTCCAACCCCACCTTCCTTCTTGGCCTCTTTACTATTACTCCTTCCCTAGCTCTTTTGAATTTGGTAATTCTTTATAAACCATGAACTTTTGGATAATAAAAGAACAATCAGAAGAGCACAGGATGTGAAAGGAATCCTCTCTTGGACAAGAACCACAGAAACCAATGCCACATTACAGTGGGATTGTAGGACAGGCAGTCACTGCAAAATGCTACCTCTGACATGAACTCAGAAACCTGCTCTAGTTCTGGTGGCAACGGACCCAGGGAAACTGGAAAAGGAAAAATTAAGAAAATAGGTTAGCCTATAATCACTTCTAGAGTGAGTCCAAACTCTCCTAGTTCCCTTGTTCAAATCTTAAGACAAACAAGGAAGGCAAACAACCTTAAGGAACAAAAAGCAAAACCAAAAATTCCTCTTTTGCCCTCTCTTGTTACTCCCTGGCAAATTTGTATATATGAGGAGATGCAGGAACAAAAGGGACAACTCGAGGGCATGTCCTGAGGAATATTCTGCTTTGGACTAAATATCTGAAAAACCCATGTGCAGTAAACTCTTCTGTCCTTAAAACACTCAGTCCTGCCCTTCACATAAGCTGCTCTAAGCACTTCAGGCCTAACTGAGCAATGGGGCAGCAGAAGGAACCCTCCAGGCTACCATCAACTCACCAGTGAGTGTGCAGCTCCAACCAGCAATCCAGTGCTCCTGAAAATCTCTCAGGGAAACTATCTTTTGAGTTGTGGGGGAAGGCAATCACTCTTCCTGGGCTCAACTTAAGGAAAGGCTCTGAGCCTTCCGGTTCTTAATTGCAACACACCTGCTTCTTTGAGGAGATGGACTTTTTTTTTTCTTTGTACATTTGCACCAGTGAAAGGGGAGCACTGAACACATTCCAGAGTTCCAAGAGCCATCAAAGGAAAGATTGGACTACCCAGACCAGGACAGAAGCTAGAGGTTTCCCAGGATGAAGAAGAATGAGACTCAACTTGGGAGTGCCACTCAGGAGGCCCACCTCCAGGGCTTAGGGCAGACCCCCACCCCCAATAAAGCATTGCAGAGGAGGCAGGGAAGAACAGCAGAGGAAAGGGGAGACAAGAAAGTCTTTGCTCCAGACCCAGGGTTTAGCAGCCTGAGGCCCAATCCAGCCTATAACCTGGGAAAGGGCTTGACAGAGTAGTTTTCCTCCCTGTAGATAAAGTTTTGTTTTTATTTCTTTAAACCAGAAGGACAGCTCAAGTGGCCTGGCAAAGGGTGTTAAAGGACCTAGGCGGTTCTGCAAAAGAAGACTCTGGGCACCCAAGATTCTCGGTCCACTATCAGGTTAGGGGTCTTTCGGGACCTTTTAAATTATCGTTCCTAAAAGGGGCTTCTTTAAACAAATCTCAGGAGACTGGAGGGCACTGGTCGCAGCTAAAAAGGATATGGGTTCCCCCAAGTTGGAGATAACACGTCCTCGCTCCAATTACCCTAGGCCAAGCTCAGAAGCATGTCCAGTCTGAAAGTCAGCCAAGCTTTGGACCTTGGCTTCTAAACTTCACCTCCCCACCCTCAAATGTGAGCTCCTCTAAAACGCGCAGCCAGGAAAAACTGGTCACACAATAATGAGTATTTGCACAAGAGTTTAAATTTGGTCCTGTCTCGACTTCTCTATCCTTTGAATTTGACCAGTTCCCCTTAATCTGAGGAAGATGCCTGGCGATGCTTGCCTTTCCCGGGGACCCAGAATCCAACTGCACGGGGTCCAGATCAAGGGAAAGTAAGAACCGGCCTAGTGGAGATAGGCCTGGCCAGACAAACTTCCCAAACTTGCCTCCCCAGCAGAACCACAGCAGACGTTCAAGTTTCCCACACGCCTGGCCAAACTCGCACACCGCAGACGCTCTTACCTGACTTAGCGAGTTGTGCCTGCAGCGCTCCGGGCTGGGGCTCGGCGGCCCAGCGTAGCGCGGCGGCCGCGGCCAAGTCAGCGGCTGGGCGCGGCGGCGGCGGCGGTTGAGACTGCTGCGAGGTTGGAGGCGGCTGAGGGGTGGCAGCGGCGTCCCCAGGCGGCGGGGGCCCGGGCAGAGCGCGTAGCGAGTCGGGGATAAGGCTCTCCAAGCTCTCGTTGGCCTGCTGCCGGCGCAGCGCCACCTGCGCCGCCATGACTCTCTGCCTCTCAATGATAAGGATGCACTTCTCGCAGGTGCAGTCCTTGAAGCGACAGTAGCGTTTGTGGCCCTTGAGCCAGGAGAGCACGCCGTGGTTGCGGCAGCGCGCGCATTTTGGCGTGCGCTGCAGGGGCGCCCGCGGTGGCTGCGACACTGGGCCGCCCATGTACAGGTAGGGGGAGCCGTAGCCGTTCATGCCCCGGGCTCCGGGAAGAGTTGGCGAGCTGGCGGCGGGGGCAGGCCAGCGGAGACTGGACAGCGGAGTTGCGGGGTCTGCTCAGGGTGCGGTCTCCGGGTGGCGCGACCTCTGGCAGCCCTGGAGGCCGCGTGCGTTCTGGGGAGGTCAGAGGTACTGCAGCCGACTCTCCAGTGGCGATCACAGCTTCGGCCTTACGGGTTCGTGTCCCCACCAATCCCCACGCCAGCGACGTCTCTGCCGGTTGCTGCTTTGGGCTCAGAGCCCAGCCCGCAAGTCCTCCTAAGACGAGGCGTTGCGGCGGCTGCAAGGAGCCGGCAAGAGATCTGATTAAGGTCTGAGACAGCTGTCTGAAGCTTCGTTGCTTGCTGGCCAGGTCCAGCACCTCCTCCGCCTCCCTCTCTCAACCCCTCCTTCCTTCCCCCCGCCCCACCAGGGTCCTTGTCTCTTTGCACTCCCCACCCCACACCTTCCTTGCGCCCCTAAGGTCCCTGCACTTCACCTTCCTTGCCACCTGCAGCCAGGTCACTCTCGCGGGGGCGCTCAAGGCCCCCTGATCCAAGCCCGCTCCGTTACTCCTTCCCGCCGCCGGAGGGACTGCGGCGTTCGGAACACAGTGGTGCACATAGGGCGGGGAAGGGGAGGATCGGCAGGAGTGAGGGTGGGGGTGCCTGTAAGCGAGTCAGGTGGCCGCTCCCCTACATTCTCAACTACTCTCTTTAGGCCTGATCTGGAGACATTGAGCCTAATGTCGATGTTATACCGACACTCAGTGACAGACACACAGTTCCTCGAGGATGGACCTGAGGGAGTTTTGCGGATGCACCCCAGACCTCACTCGGACCGATCCGTTTAGAGTTGTGGTCCCTGTGGCCACAGGAGAGTGGAGTTAGGAGTGACAGGAGTGGTACTGGTTCGGGAAGTTTGGGGTTCTTGATTTCCTTTTGCAGCATTATTTTCCCTCTTTTTGCAAGAAAATGAGCGTTTTTGAAAAACTGACAGTCTGACAACTCATGTTGCAGTCTACCTTTATTTTTCTACTTCCCCTTCCCGTTTTTAAATAAAAACCAGTCTGTGTCTTGAAGGGCCCAGGAAGTGCTCACTGCTGGGTCTAAACTCTCAGAGAGCGGGACCAAGGAGCCAAGTTAGCATCTGAAAAATTACAGGGTAAAATCTTCCCACTTCCCAGTAGCTATCGATTCATCAAATGGAGGTATCGCTTTACCAAATTCGAATCCCCACGAATCTGAGATTTAGTTAAAGATAGGGATGGAGCCACCCCGCTCCCCAACCATAGACCCCAGCCATAAACGTCTTTGAGTGGGGTGAGAAAGGCCCTTGCACAAGACAGCATAAAAATTTGTTTAGAATATTATTTTGCGTGTTTCTAATCTCCTAAGAGTACCAATCTCTCCAGATGCAGACCACCATATATACGCATAGAGACGGCTAACCGCCCCCACCCCCAAACAAACAAAAGACTACTGGTGGATACGGTAGGCGCCAGGCAGCATAATGACTGTGCAAAGGGGTAAGTGGCAGTCCTGGCTCCGTCTGTTCGCGTACACGAAGATAATCTTATAGCGGTGTGGACGAACCAAAGGCTAGATGAGAGAATAGATGAGTCCGCAGCAAAGCCAGACCCCTCGGCTGCACAGAGGCCCTTGTCGGCTCCAGGAGGTCGAATTATACAGCCCAGGAAGCAAGCAAGAACCCCGAAAAGGTCCCTCTCTTTTCTGCTGAGAATTTCAAGTACAGCACCGCCAGGAGTTCTAAACAGCCAACCTCTGCCTAAAATGATTCCGAGAAGGGAGGGGATTAAAAAGGGGACCCTGTTAACCGTTCTGGGCTCCAGATACGTCTGGGAGTTGCGGGGAGCTGACCTACTGAGGTGTTCTTGAGTGCTAACTCTGGAAGCATTTCCCCCCAAAGCGCATCAGACCCGTGCTCTTCAGGCTTGGCCCCTTCTCTTATCCCCTTAATCCCTCCTCTCCTCCCACCCTTTGCTAGGAAAACAAGCCCTAAAACACTACAACTGGAAGGAATGTTCATAAATTCTCGGAACCGTAGGCAGAGATCCACCAGTCGCCCCATGGGCCTGAGGCAGCGAAGTGTGGAGCTGAGAGTCGCTTTGCAAGACTATAGATACACAGTGTCGCCAATAGCACCGGATCTGGGAACTTTGACACTGAAATCTCTTGGAAATTCAGGAACCGTGAACTTTTTTCCCCGAAGCCGAATTTCTCCCGATTTTCTTCAATGGTCAGCGGAAACAAAGAAAATGAGAGTAATGGTTTTTTATTTTTATTTTTATTTTTTTTTTTGTGTGTGTATGTTTAAGGAAAGCAACAGAACTCTGCACCAGGTTTGTGGGGGACATTATCACTCCCAAGGCAAACTCCTTTCCTCACTCCATCACCTAACCACCCAATCCCGATGCCACTCAAACAGTCTGGCATTATTTGGTCCCGGGGCCATTTCACTCCAGTGCACATCGGGGGCTGAGATCTAAATACTCATTTGATATAGCGCAGTAATCCTTTTCTCATATTTGATGGGAATGTTTTCCATATCCCAGTATTTGACAACATCTCCCTATAGGGACAGGTTTGTATTTATGTTGGTAAAATGTCCCCTGCCTCAAAGTCTATTGTAACCCAACACCTGACAACCCCGAGTCCCATTTCTGTTTGCAGAAAGGGTTTATTCAAGCACATAATGGGATCCCAGCAGAAAGCTTTTCAGAACAAGGGGCTATGGTAAACTTCACCACATGAACTCCGTTTCCAGGGCTATTAAGCTTTTAATTGGAAAATAGCAGAGGAAATTTCAAGGTGACTATAACGTGTTAGCAGTTAGTGCAGAGAAGAAAAGCCGATGCAGGAATGAATGTAGAAAGCATATGGTCCGAATCACATTTAGGAGCAGCGGCCTGCTTCTACTAAGTCCCTGCAGCTTATGCACTTATGGGAAAAATCATCAAAGAAATTGGAAGTGGGGCGGGGGACTACAAATAAATGTAACCTCAGACTAGACCCACTCATGCTCTCCTCTGAGACGTGTGTTTGTGTTTTCAAACCACAATTAAGAGGGTAGAATCGTGACAGGTGTAAGAGTGAAAGGATGAAAAATAATGTGCTAGTTCCTAGTACATACAATCATGTGGTGTGTGTACATATGAAGCCATGAATCCGAGTGCACTTTGGAGAAAATGGGGATGTTCTGACCCGAAATCTGGGAGACCTGATGGCGGCTACTCATTCCTAAGCAACGTTTAATCAAAAGGACAGTTTCATATTGTCCTGGATGCATGACACATCAAGAATTTTTCTGCTTTGCTCCATTTTCATGAGGGGGGAGTTAGCATTCCTATTTTGTTGTCTATGTCCTGACCACAGTGATGTTGATATGGATAGACATTAGGGGCCGGGGCTTACAGAAACTTTTATAAAGGCAGAAAAACGGGTTCCCTCTCACTGCACAGGAACTTTAGCATGATTACTCAGCTCTCACCCAGTCTGTGCCTCTTGGCAGCTCTCACTGGCCAGCTTCAAATTTAAGGTGGGAGAGGGGCAATGTCCAGTCAGGCCATGGACAATTTCTTGAGGTGTCAATAATGTCCTTCTTCTGCCTCAACTGGTTAAGGAGACACTTGTGTGAATCCCCACCGGATCCCTGAAGCTGCTCTCTGGAGCACCGGGTGGACGGCAACGAGGGTGGGGGTCAGTTCTGGCAGGCCTGGGGGAATACCATAGAGCTGAAGGAAGGAAGGTCCTGGACGGTCGTGTCCCCAAACTATTTTGGGAGAGAAGAAGATGGGTCGTAGTCGGTAGCCGGCTCCAGATGCTCAGGAGCCAAGGCCTTTTGAAGCAAAAGGGTGAACAAATTTCCAGTGAGCTCACTGGTTCTTGCTGGTGCCCCTATGCCCTCCGTGTTCTAGAATCCTTGAAGCCAGCAGCTGCTCAGATCTGGGAGCAACGTTCCAACCCGTGAAGATTCCGGAGACCCTGTATGGCTGGGTACTAGACCGTGCCTGCCCCAAACTTTTTTGGAGGAAGTGTTGTTTCTCCCGCTTCGATTCATCCGAGAAGTACACTCCTGCCCCTCTCTCGCCCGCCAAGCGTGACCTCAAACCTTGTGCCTTCCAATGGACCAAAAAAGCAACTCACTCCCAGGTGCCACCTCCAGAGTGGGTCCCCGGCCGGCCGGACCCAGCACTGCGGGCGGGCACCGAGCGGGCTGAGAACATTAGCCACGTCCCCATGCTATTTTGGATGGGAAAGGAGTCTCTCACTCGTTAGAGTAGAAACTTGTCTACTGCAAGGTAAAATGAGTAGCAGTAACTTTAAGACATTTTGAAGATAACCTTTCTCCTGCAAACTTTGAAACTAAAAAGACCGAGACGATTATTTTAGGTAATTTTAGCAACACTCAGGGGAACAAGGAAAGCTTATGTTCTCAGAGCATTCTCTGCGGGCACTGAGTGCAATTCTCTAGGAGGCTCCACTTTTCCAGAAATTTGTCCCCAGCCTTTCAGTCTTCCTGCTGTTCCTCAATAATGCCCTGCTACTGGGAAATCAGTCGGACAAACGCGACCGAGGGAAAAAAAAAATCCTGCTCGGCTCCAGCTGCCTGGGAATATTAAGGGGAAACCAAGAGCTGCGGAGACACCCACACTGCCCCGCCATCGGCACCAGGAGAGGGGTGGGAGCTCTACGCCTGCGGGCGGACTTGAGGCAGGAGAGCTACGCGGCTAGTCCCTGGCGCTGTGCGGAGACCTCCGGGGCGCACCCCATTTCCCACTGGTGTAGGCCGGGAACCCCGGTTCAAGAGCCTCTTGGGAGGGGCTACTTCCGGAGCGCCCTAGACCACGCCCACCTGAGCTTGCCACGCCCACGGTTCTGCTTGTACCGCCCACTCCACTGTCTGGGCCGCCGGCTTTGAACTGAGGAAAAGTTTGGGGGGTGGAAGGGGGATAAACTTAAACAGGTGGCAGAGTAAAGGCCGAAGCGGGCTTCAGGTATGGAGCCGGGAAGGGGCTGTCATTTAAAGACATGAATCGCAAGTCTTTGGAAGCAGCCAAACTTCAAAAAGCTCAGGGCCCAGAGGGCATCGGGTCTCAGGCCTCGTCCATTTGTGGTTGGAGAGCGAAAGGGTAAGACCTTCGCATCACTTTCCTGTACTAGGATTCCTGACCAACTCCAATCGTCCCGAGTCAGAGGAGCTAAGAACTGTCCCGACAGGCCGGGTTTCTTTAAAAGGTGCAGTGCCTTCCATAGAGACCTGTTAAAGCGTCTAGACGCACGGCGTCAAGATGCGGTGCAATGTAAGTACGTGGAAAACCAGTTTACCAAAGGAAGTTTCAGTGAAGCTGAGGGGGTCTTATTTTCCCAAGGGAGATGCTGGCCGGGGCTGGCCTTTGCTACAGACCGAGATTGCACTCTTCGTTGCGTGGATAGCACAACTGGCCCCAGTTGCGGGTATGACAATGGTGGTGGCAGCAAGAAGGCGAGTCACCAAGGGTGTTCTGGTCCCCGGTTCCACAGCTGGGGGTCTGCAAGTTTCAGGGGTCCCAAGGGTGGGGACGCGAACCCAGCGGCCTCTTTGTCGCGATGGGTTGCAGGCCGCCGGAGGGGTGCGTCCGCTGGAACGCGAGAGAGGTCGCAGGACCCCAGCTACAGCGCAAGTCAGAGGCCTCCTTGGGGAAAGGTAAGAGCTTTTGACCTCCAGACACTTGGCATCTGATGCTTGACAAGCATCCGACAGAGAAAGGCCAAGTAAGCCTGCCTTGATTTCCCAGCGCCAGAGCAGTGGCACATCTGCAAAGGCTCAGCTAGGGACGTGCGGACGTTGAGCACAGCCAACCCCGCGGGCACTTTGCCCGACACGCCCACTCTTGCACTCAAGTGTTCTGCGCACTGTACATCCCACATACTACTCAGTAGATCCCGCCCGTGGGAGTGGTGGGACTAAGTAGAATTGCTGGTCATCTCGAAGGTGGAGAGCTTTTGAAAAAGTGATCACACCTCGAATGTTTATTAAAATAGGGCCAAAATACAGCGGTCAAGATTTACAGTCTATGCGCTACCTTGCATCTAGAATTGGGTAAGTTCATAAGGCAGTTCTCTT